GGCTTCCTGGACATTCTGGAACTGCCCTGTCCTAGACAGTAGCCACTTGCCACATGTGGCTATTGAGCATGAAATGTGGATATTCCGACTGGGCGCAGTGGCCCACGCCTATAATCCCATCACTTTGGGAGACCGAGGTGAGAGGATTGCCTGTGCTCATGGGTTGGAGACCAGCCTGGGCAACTTGGAGAGACCTCATCTCTACAATAAACAATAAGAATATATATGTAATTGTGGTGCTTGCTTGTAGATCCAGCATTATGGATTGTTGATTTTAAATGATTTTTTGATTAATTTTGTTATGGTTGTATTGGCCATGAGCATGCCACTGCCCTCCAGCCTAGGCAATAGAGTGAGACTCCAACTAAAAATAAAAATGTGGCTATTCCAACTTATGATTTGCTATAAGTGTAAAATATACACAAGATTTCAAAGACAGTAGAGAAAAAAAGAATGTGAAATATCTCATTAGAAATGTTTTAATAGATCATTTTCTGGTATGACAATATTTTAGAAATCTTAGTTTAAATAAGATGTTACTAAAATTAATTCCACTTGTTTTCTTTTACCTTTTTAGTGTGGATATTAGGGGGGAAATTTGAGTCAAGGTCTCACTCTGTCACCCAGGTTGGAGTGTAGTGGCACCATCACAGTTCACTGCAGCCTCAACTTCCTGGACTCAGGCAATCCTTCCACCTCAGCCTCCCGAGTAGCTGGTACTACAGGAATGCACCACCATGCCTGCCTAAATGTTTTAAAATTTTTTTGTAGCGATGAGGTATCACTATGTTGCCTAGACTGGTCTCGAACTCCTGGCCTCAAGCAATCTTCCTGCCTCAGCCTCCCAAAGTGCTGAGATTACAGGCATGAGCCAGCATGAATGCCAGGAAATTTTAAATTACATCTGTGGCTTGCATTTGTGACTTGACTTACATTTCTATTGGACAGGGCTGTTCTAGAACCTCTTTAACCTGGGAGTAGCCGGGCATAGACGGCAATCTGATGGTGGACAGTAGCAAACCATGCCAAGGCCTCTGCCTCTCCCACTCTGACTCTCAGCTCACCCAGGTCCAGTCTGGTGCCAAGAGCATCTTCATCACTGGCTTTGAGTCTCCCAGCTCTGCTAGGTGAGACATGTTCTCCCAGGAATCTAAGCTCAGTCCCTCCTCCTACTGGTTGGGGGTGAGCCTCAGAGGAGGGGAAGGCGCCTCAGAAGAGGGGTACCAGTACTCCTCCCTATCTCCAGCATCACCTGGAGCCCTAGCCCATTGCCCACCCTACCTGCGAAGGCTGAGAAGGAGATGGGGGTCTCAGGAGGGCTGTACCTGGTAAAGGCTGCAACACTGAACCTGGGCAGAGAAACAGGATTGTTTGTTGGTTGGGGGGGTGAGCAATTGAGGCACAATCTGGGAAACTGGACCATAGCAGTAGATTCTCAATAGCAAGAGCTCCCTCACTCTTCAGAAGCTACATCTCAGGCTATCTGCCATTTTAGGGCAACCACCTCGGCTTATCATATCCTTGCCCTGTTCTGAGAGCAAGAAGAAGCTCTGGGTACCTGGGTACCTGGATATCCTTGGAACTGCCCTGGCTAGCTGAAACAGAATACACTCCACCTTCCTTTTTGAAAACAGAAATATGTAACAGATGGGTACTCCCTTTTTGCCCCCTCTTCCAGGAAGCCCAGTCAACTGTTGGCCCTTATGAACTCTAGCATGCATCCTCTTATGTCAGGCCAGATCTTTTGCTTGCTCACAACCCATCACTGAAACTTATAACAGCCCTCCCCCCTCCCCCGCCCTGGCCTTCAGCCTTAGCCTCACCTGTATTGGGAACCTGGCTTGAGCTGCCCATTACATATCTCCTGGCTGTGGCCACAGTCCTCTGTCCCTGTCACAGGCACTGTCCAGGACCGCGGCACAGCCCAGGGCCCTGGGTAGAAGGGGTTGGGGAGCAAGGTGGCCAGGTAGGAGTCGTGTCCTCCGTAGTAGTGGTCATGCCACGTGTGGTTGATGGCTTCCCGGGAAGACTGAGCCACTAGGAAAGGAGGAGGCAGAGCAGGGCGGACAGTGGGGCCACAGTCCCTCTTCCCCCCACAGGGGGGCCACCCCATTTCTCCAGTGTGCTCCTGCCATTCACAACCCAACATCAGCCCCATCCTAGAACATTCTGGGCCCCGCTTCTTGCTCCCAGACTGACACTGGCCTCACCTATTACCTTTTACCAGTTTCCATCTCTGAACCCTCGCACCAACGCCCTGCTAGTCCACACCAGGGCCTCTCCACCCGCTCCTGAGCCCAGGACTCACGTGACATGGTGGTGACAATGATGCCACACCACTGGATCTGCCCATCATCCTTGCCAAACATGCCCTGTGGGATCATCACTCCCATTCCCGTCCAGGCTCCAGCTGAAGGGGTGGGGCTAACTCTGGGGGATGCCAGGCTGGGGATGAAGAGGACCATAAGGCTCTGCCTAGGTACTTAGCCCTCAGTCTCTGAGGGCAGGGACCATGCCGTCATATCCCCAGCGCCTATCACAGCTACTGGATAGAAGGAAACAAGGACTGGGAGACTCCCGGGCTGGGGTGCCAGGGCAGGAGGCTCAAAAGCATGGTATCAAGGCCAGGTGTGGTGGCTCACACCTGTAATCCCAGCACTTTGGGAGGCTGAAGCAGGAGAATCACTTGAGTTCAAGACCAGCCTGAGCAACACAGCGAGACCTGGTTTCTAAAAAAATTAGCTGGGCATGGGGGCACACGTCTGCAGTCCCAGTTGCTCAGGAGGCTGAGGCAGGAGAATCACCTGAGCCCAGGAAGTCAAGGCTGCAGTGAGCTATAATCATGCCACTGCACTCCAGACTGGGTGACAGAGTGAGCTTCCTCACTCAAAAAAAAAAAAAAAGTACAGTATCAAACTAGCAAGATCAGGGTCAGAGGAAAGGGTTGGAGCCTGGGAACAGGAAAGCCCTGGGCAGCCAGGACCAGAGGAGGGACATCCCCAGGTGGGTGGCAATAGAGGGAAGGAGCAGAGGCAGCCCCAGGAGCTGCAGCAAGTGCCTACCGTCAGCAGTAGTGGCACACACTAGGGTGACCACCCGACTCCACAGACCATTCCTGCCCAGCACAGAGAGGCTGAGGCGATAGGAAGTGGCAGGTACCAGGTTGAGTACCAGGACTGCATCCCTGGATGTGTTGGCCTGGAACACCCGGTGAGCATTCCATCCTGCTGCCAGCTGCTCTGCCACCACCAGGCAGGCACCCACATCCCCTGGAGGCACCATCCAGTTCACGGCCAGGCGGGTGGCCTCAGGCTGGCATTGCACATCCTCCACAGGGTCAGGCTCTGTGGGAAGCAAAGGCTCTGCTGCTTAGTGCACCCTAAAAGGATGGCCTCTGGGTCAGGGGCTCTCAAAGCCAGCAGGTGCAAAGGGACCAGCCACACAGAAAAACAGCATCTCCTCTGGACATCACTGCTCACCTGGAGAAGCATAGGGAGCATAACCAGGGCAGGGTGGACACAACACCCATCTGCAAAGTGCAGGTGGCTCAGAATAGAATGGGCAGTGCTGCCTGCTTCTCAGGGCCCCTTCACCCCCCCCCAGCAGACATCAACATACCAACAGGCGGCACCACAAGGTGAGTGGATGCTTGGAGCGGCCCCACCTGGCACAGCACTGACAGGGAGAGGTTTCGTCCAGGTGTGAGTCCTCTCAGGATGAGATGGGCTTGGCCCAGCACCAGGGGCTGCTCCCAGGAGAAGAGTCCAGCCTCTGAGAGCTGGGCGTGGCATGCACCTTGCCCCGAGGGGCCGCTGGCCCAGGCCAGGCTGACCATGGCAGTGCCCGTGTGCATCGATACCAACAACTCACTGGGTGTGAGCGGGGCTGTGAAGGGAAGGACAGAAGGTCAGCCAGGCTACTGGCCCCTGTCCTCAGAGCCCCGTGCACAATCCCAGAAGCTTGCTGAGCCCTGGGATGTGGAGGTGAAAACTGGGCTGAAAGGGGCTCAGGTACCATTGAGGAAAGACCCCAGGAGTCTCAGAGGCAGCCCTGCCCACCTCTTCCCACTCACTGCCCTCCCCATGCCCACTCACAGGTCCAGCCAGAGACAATGGCTGCTGTGGCATGAAGGGGCCCGGCCTGCAAGACAATCTCCACCTCGTACTCAGTGCCTGGAGTCAGAGCCGAAAAGTTGATGCCGTCCACCTCGACTCCTACGGCACGAGTGCCTGCCTGGGTACCTGCCTGGTACAGGGTTACCTGGTAGCCGTCCCGGCCCCCAGGAGCATGGACCCATGATGCCCGGAGCTGGGTGGGCCCTTCACTGGTCACATTCACCAGAAGAGGGACGAGAGGGCCTGCAGGGAGAGCAAATGGGGGAGTGGAATGTGGCAAGGAAAGGAGAAAAGAATCTAAGCCGCATCTCTGATTCCTCCCTCCTCAAATGCTCCCCCACTACTCCCTCCATCTTTGACTTTATCGAGAAACACCCAGGAGCCAGAGACGCTGGTTCAGGGTGTCATGCAAGCCCATAACTTCACTGGGAAGCAGGACCTGCCGTTGATCCCAGGCAGTGGAGTCCAAGTGCGAACTGAGCTGAACGGATGAAATAGCCACTTACTCTCACCACAGCTCCACCCTCTCGTGAACAGAACTGAGCGCTGTGAAGTTAAATCACATGCCCTTCCCAGCCCCTGCACCCAAGGAGCTTTCAAAGACCCTTATGTGGATCAACAGGCGGGTGTCGGGGCCCAGGCTGTGCCCCTTCATCCTAGAGCTGAGCCCCAGAGCTGGGCTCACACAAGCCTGGCCCGGTCACCTAGTCAACACTCCTCTTTATAAGTGGGGACACTGAGGCTCAGAGAGGGCTGGGGTTTGCTCTAGGGACTGAGCCTCAGCTGGAACCCAGGTCTCCTGTCTCCCAGGCCAGACTTCTTTCCAGCTCCCTCGAGCATATCCACTACAACAAATCAAAAAATCAGCCGGGCGTGGTAGCGCATGCCTGTAGTTCCGGCTACTTGGAAGGCTGAGGCGGAAGGATCGCCGGAGCCCAGCAGGTCGAGGCCACTGCACTCCAGTCTGGGCAATGGAGTGAGACTCCAACTAAAAAAAAAAAGCTGCAGCTGGAAGCCGTCCCTTCCCCCTCGCAGGGCATTCCAGGAAGACTTCAGGGCCGGAGGCTGGGCCACAAGGTCCAGGCTCAAGTTGGCAGGAGGAGCAGGTGCTGAGGAACAAAAAAGAAACAGATTTGGAGTAACCGGGATCCTTCACCTCTCCTCCCCAAGCTCTGCACCCTTCACCTCCATTTCCAGGCAGGCTCCCAACGCTCCCAGGAGCTAACAACTCAGCTCCCATGGGGCTCAAAACTCACTCTTCTTTCCTTCCCGGGAAAACCCATGGAAGAGGAATCCGCCCTGACACTGTGGGCTCCCCCACCTCCTCCCTGACTGTCAGCCCCTTGAGGGCATCAACCCCACCAGCACCCAGCTGAGAGCCTGAGGATGGGTAGATGCATGGATGGATGGATGGAGGGATAGGTGGTGGGTTGGTGGATGGAGGAATGGAGGGAGGATAAATGGTGGGTGGATGGAAGAGTAGCTGGTGAGTGGATGGAGGAATAGATGATGGGTTGGTCGACAAAGGGAGAGATGAACAGTGGGTGGATGGAGGGATACACAGTGGATGGGTGGATGGAGGGATGGAAGGAGGGAGGGAGGAATTGGTGGATAAAGGGAGAGATGGAGTGTGAGGAGGGGCGGATGGTAGGTGGATGGAGGGATAGATGGTGGGTGGGTGGATAGCAACCAGATGGTAAGAGGTAGAAAAAACTTGCAGGTAGGTTAATGAAAGGCCTCACCTTGTACTCGTGGCTTTTTGAGTCAAGAATGTGGCACACAGAAGTGCAGAATAGAGGAAGCCAGTCCCCCAGCCCACCGCCCTGGCCTCACAGAGGCTACCGCCAGGAACTCACAGGTGCATGCACGGGTCCCCCGGATGCTGGAGCTCAGGTTCTCCGTCCAGGCCCACAGTGACACGGTATAGCAGGAGCCAGGCACCAGACTCCTCAGAGTCAGGCTGGAATTATCTGGACCCACGTCGACGAGACTTTCTCGTGAGCTCTGGTTGCCCACCTGGTGCCAGGCGACCCCGTAGCCTTCCCGCTGCCCTGGTGCTGGGACCCAACCAATGGCCAGGTCAGAGGGACTGCCCCTGCTGGTGACCTCCAGTGACTGTGTTGGCAGAGGACCTACAGACAGGGGCAGTTTGGTGAGGAGGGTCATACAGGATCTGTAGCTCTGTGGTGCTCCCTACCCCACTCTCCCGAGACTCTCCCTTGCTCTGACTTCCCTCTCCAAGGCAAGGCCTTCCAACCACAGGGCCAGGGGACACAGCGGCTGGCACTCACCTGTGTGGCCCTTGAGGCTCTGGATGACAACTCCCAGAGATGTCGACCCGGTAGGGGGCCCCAGGGACCAGGCCACAGAAGGTGTTGTGGGTGGCACCAGATGGCACGGAGATGTTTCCAAGGAGGCCTGGGGCATTCTCAGCATAGAGCAGTGCCCACCTCCCAGCCAGTGGGCAGGGACCCTGGGAATGTGGCATTGAGGGCCTCCGGGCCCAGAGTGATATTTTTCTCCACCGGCCCGCTCAGCCTCAGCAAGAAGCCACCCTAGGCACCAGGTCCCACCTTCCAGCTTGCCAAAAGCTTAGGGGCAAGAGGAGTCAATACCAGGTCAAGGGGCAGAGGGATCTGTGGAAAAAAGGAAAAATATGTACAGGAAGGGCTAAAGAGTAGATGAGAAAAATCCCACTCTCTCTGTGCCAGTTTCTTCCTTTTCTCTTTTCTTTTTTTTTTTAAGTTGGAGCCTCACTCTGTCACTCAGGCTGTGGCACGCTCATGGCCACCCCAGTGTCGACCTGCTGGGCTCTGGCGATCCTTCTGCCTCACTCTTCCAAGTAGCTGAAACTTACAGGCGCACGCTACCATGACTGGCTACTTTTTTAGTTGTGTAAAGACAAGGTCTCACCAAGTTGCCCGGGCTGGAATCGAAACTGCAGGCTCTGGCAATCCACTCGCCTTGGCCTCCCAAAGTGCTAAGATTACATGCTGAGCCACCAAGCCCAGCCCCTTTTTTTCTTTTTAAATTTGTTATAGAGACAGGGTTCTGCTATGTTACCTAGGCTGATCTGGAACTCCTGGCTGTAAGGGAGCCTCCCCCGCCTTGGCGTCCCAAAGTGCTGGGATTACAGGCATGAGCCACTGTGGTTGGCCTGTGCCAACTTCCTTCTACATGCCCTGGCCATATTTGATCCAGAAGTTAGCAGTCATCTTTTGCCACATGTTGGATAAATACTGGGATCTGGCTGCTACCATCTGACTGTGGACAATAACAGAAATAAGAATACATACAGCAATTGAATATGTACCTGCAGACATGGTTCTGAACACTCTACATGGATATCTCACACTTACTCCTCACAGTGCTAGGACGTGGGCACTACTATTGCCATCCCTTTTAAACATATAGGAATTAATGCACAGAGAAGGTAAATAACTTGTCCAGAGACCTACAGCTAATGGGTGGCAGACACAAAACTCAGAACCCAGTCATGGGCCAGGCACGGTGGCTCACATCTATAATGGAAAGCAAAGTCTGGGAGGCTGAGGTCAAAGGATCAATTGAGCCCAGGAGTTTGAGACCAGCCTGGGCAACATAGTGAGACCCAATCTTTACAAAAAAAAAAAATTCTAAAAATTAGCTGGGCATAGATATTGCATACCTGGATTATTAGAGCCCACAAGTATGAGGCTGCAGTGAGCTATGGTCATATCACTGCACTCTAGCCTATGTGACAGGGTGAGACCTTGTCTCTAAAACCTGGTTCTGATTCCTCTACTCTTAACCACTGCACTACTGCTTCTCTGAGTAAAAACGCAGTGACGGTGTGGCAAAGTTAACATTGGCTCTGCAGGCATCCAACCCAGGTTCAGGTCAGCTTGGCCACTCACAGGCTGTGTGATCTTGAATTCTTTCTCCCTCTGAACTTTAGCTCTCTATCTACTATAAAACAGTGTATAATATAACTCATACAGTCATTTTGAGGATTAAGTGAAACAATACATAAAAAGTGCTTAGCACAGAGTCCCGCACATAGAGGGTCCACTGATGACAAATATCACCACCAGCTTCTTCTCAGGTGGGCACCTGTCACCAGCCAACTGGAGGTGCACACCCTCCAAGCCTTTGAAGGGGCCCCTCCCCTGCCGGTTGTATCCTGGCTACTTGGCCCAAGGAGAAGAGCAGAGCATTCTCTTCTATGTCTTCTTCACCACCCAGACACTCACAGGTCCACTCGGTGGCATTGGGCCCCACTGCCCAATGGGGCCCACCACAGCACTAAGTGTCAGCTCATAGTGGGTGCCCGGGAACAGGTGAAGGAAGGTGCGACAGGATATGCCCCATCCGACTACTGCCGTCAGGTTGGTGCCACCTAGAAGGTCTGTAAGCACTAGGTGGAACCAGGTGGCCTCCTCGGAGCCATTCCAGGAGGCCTGCAGGGCACTGGTGCCCAGGGTGTGCAGCGCCAGGTGATCCGGAGACATGGAGGCTGGAAGAAGGATGGAGAGAGCAAAGTCAGGCTTGAGAAAGAGACCTGGAGCAGGACACGGGCATGGAGCCTGGCACCAGGGAGCACAGAAGCCTAGCCACATTAAGACATGGATCCGAGCTGGGCTCGGTGGCTCAGCCTGTAATCCCAGCGCTTTGGGAGGCTGAGGTGAGTGGATTGCCTGAGCCGGCGGGTTCGAGACCTGCTTGG